TTATTTGGAGACGACTTACTTATTTTCGGTGAGGCTAGCAGTAACCAAGCTATTTGTCTTCTCTAAATGCTCATTATGGATGTGGAATAATTGGATGAAGGTTAAAGCATCCTATCAAACTATTTCTGACTGAAAGTTGCAGATGGCAAGAGTATAAGGATTTGAAGGGACCCTTGGGTACCTGGCTTAGCAACAGGGGTGTCGGGCAGAAGGAACAATGAGAGCACAAATTTTACTTGGGTTTTTGAGTTGCTGAGTGTAGAGGGAAATAACTGGAATAGAGAGCTAATAATGGAGTTGTTTGGAGAAACTGAGGGTGATTCTATACTCCAAGTCAACTCTTTGAACCTTGTTAAGAAAGATAGGTGGTGTTAGACAGGTAATGACAAAGGCATATTCTCACTAGCAAATGCTTATTCAAAGTTGATGACTAAGAAAATGATGAAGTTTGATAGGGTATAAGGGAGCAATTCAGCTGGATAAGATATAAATTCAAGATTTGGGTGTTGAAAACTGAAGGTTAAAGGAAAACTTATACACCTAGTTTGGAAATGCATTAGTAGGTGTAAATCTACTGAAGAAGGGCCTTAAGGTGGCTCATATCTGTCAGTGTTGTGGAGAAACACTTGAGACCACTGAGCGCATTTTCGTTCAATGTAGCAGGCTAAACTAGCGTGGGAACTTACACCTATTGACAGGGTTGTAGACTTTTATTGTTTTGTGCTATGAGGTCTTCCTATCGTTTCGAAATAAATAAAGACATCTGGTTTACTACTTAAGTGATGGCTCCAAAAAGTAATAAACTTACATATTAACTTCACCAGCATTTAATGGTTGTATTCTTTAGTTGATTTACAATATATTTTATATATATATATATATATATATATATATATATATATATATATATATATATACATATATATATATAAAATACAATCAGATATAATTTCTTCTCGTTTACTTGAGTTTTAATTAAAAATAGTATAAATTATTGCACATATATTTATGAGGCGGTCAACCCATCTTGTTATATGACATGTTTGATTTCAAATGTTATTTCATTGAATATGTGAAGCAATTAAATGTGATTATAATTAAAATCTTCTTATAGTAAAATATAATTTATTTCGATATTCAATAAATATAGTAACCTAAATCATTAAGTTCAATCACATAATAAATATTCTGGCAGAATTCTATGTCAGTTAACGTATGTAAAGTAAAAACACAAGTATTTAATGTACTTTAAGGGAGGAGTATGTCACTCCCCGTGATGCTTGAATATTCAGTTTAGAGTGCTTAAATTGTTTGTAATCAGTTGATTATCGTTGTACTCAAACTATTTTATATTGAGTAATGAATTTGTTTGTTTGTCGTTGGAAAAAAATTAAAAAAAAAAAGACACGAATAACTTAAATTGCCTCAAACAAATTTGGTCAATTAAACTTTAGTGAGGATATATTCGGAAAATCTAGTTGAAAAGTTGCAATACTAGTCGATATAATAAGATTGTATTTGGTAAGCACTTAAACTAGTTTAAACACTGTTTCTTTAGTTTATACTTCTTCTATTCAAGTAAATTGTTATGATATAATTTTTTTTAAATGAGCTTATAACATAAAGTTCTCTAGATAGCTTTTTGTAAAAACTTGATGAATTTTTTATTTAATTTGACTTATCTACTAATTTATTGAACACTTGATTATATCAACTAATTTTTTGTAATAAGCCATAAGATCATTTAAACTCAAAATTCACTTATAAACTACTCGCTACAACAATTAATTAACTTTTTAACTAAATTTCCAAATATACCCTAAAAGAAAAATGGCAAAGGAATACATCATGTTAACCTAAATGATACATAAAACAACTAAATTTACCAAATATACCCTAAAAGAAAAATGCCAAAGAAAAATATCATGTTAATCTAAATGAAACATAAAAGACTAAAATTTATGATGATTTATATGTTTAGCTTTGTTATCATCCGGATCGGTAAACCTGCATCAAGAAATTCCAAATGACACATGAAAAGGCAGATATTCGTTGAACCGACGTAATTTCAAATACCATCCCGATTCAGGCAACAAACCGGACCGAACTACCGAAGACCGAAGTGGTCAACGACTACCGAGGTCAACATCTCCCGAGATCAACATGAACCGAGGTCGTCACCTCCTTAAGCAGGTGACAAGGTGCCTACGAGTGACCCTCCTGCTCCACAAGATCCATCATCATTTATGTGGGACCCTCTGCCTCGAACCGCCCACAAAAAGTAGCTTTATTCGAAAAAGTCATGCACAGATCCCAATGTATCAACCCGAAATTACTATAAATAGCGGGCCTATGACATTTGTACGGAGATCTCTCTCCGAACTGAAAAAACTTTACTAAGCAACACGTAAAAGCCCATCACGGCTCTTCACCTCGGTTCACCTCGGACCGAGGCCATTGTCGATTTAATCCTACATGCTTTACGTCCAAATCATTCAAAATTATCCACTTAATCACAAGTTACATCGTTGTTAAAAATCACATAACAACAAGCTTGAAACAAGTCAATACTGCTCACCTACCCATGGTGGGCACATGTTAATATGTCCACCGCTTATGTGGCATGCACACACTGGTGATGTTAATATGTTCAAAAAAATATATCACCAATGTGTGCATGCCACATAAACGGTGAGCATATTAAAATGTGTCCACCGTGGATAGAGGAATATTACTCTGAAACAAGTTTTAAATGACTTTTTTTTTCCAACGGACTAAATATTTCTTATTAATATAAATTTAGCAAATTAAAAATAATTAAGACGGTCTAAACCCAGCCAAACTCTTTAAGTACTCCGTCACCGCATTTGCATTTTAAACGTGGTTTAAGTTTTAAATGATTATCTCATATATATATATAATTCATATAAATGGACTCCGTACTTCGGGATACTATTTGTCATAATTCTATATTATTGATACATAAAAACTCGAGTTTCATGTCAAATGTCAATTAGACATGGTCATTTCTACAATATATTAAATATTATCCTTTATTTAACTAATCATTCTTTATTTTATTCCATATTTTCTTCCATAGTCACCATAATACTTTCATTTTTATTTCTTTTTTTTTTCTATTACATGTCTTCTTTAAATCAATCATTTTAATTTATTTCTCATTCTTTCTATTCAATATCTTACACATTTTGAAGACGAAATAATATGATATTATTCTTGTAAAAATAATATTTGTTTAAAATCTAAATTGACATGTTGTCAATATAATAAAACAAATAATTAATGGTCTAAATTTTAACAACCTCTAAAGTTAAAAAAACTGTAAAACAAGGCGTGATAAGACACTTGATCTATTAGACATCCAAGTAATAAATTAATCTCTTTTACTTAGTATTCAACAAGCATTTTCTACATGCATATGCATACATGTCATTATATCATTTCTATTTATTTAAGATTTATATTTTTGTACTCAGGTAATAGTAAATACTATTGATATTCTTATATGATATAAGTTGAAAAATTCAATATTTCTTCACATTTTCATTTAATAAATGGGTGTTTAACAATTATGATCAAAAAATATAATTTTAAAATTTAACTAAAACGCAAAGTAGTATTTTATATAAAATTAAATCATTTTATTTTTAATGAAAATTTTAAAATAGAAGCTTCAATTTATATTTTTATATATATTCTTCTTAATTCAACACACGTGTAACACACGCGATTATTATACTATTGAATATATAACTCAATGCTAAAAGTCAAACTGATGTTTGACTCTCACTCGTAAGTGATATATGCCTAATACTTGGATAAGATTTCTAACTCGTACACATTCAACATATTACATAAGTGCTACATGACCAATAATAAAAAAATAATCAGTGCATTTTAAAAGACACAAAAAACGAATTACAAGTTTTGATAATTGTAACAAAAATGTTATGCAGACTAACAATCAGTTAGTGGATAATAATCTTCTTAATAGAAATATATATATTTTTGAATTAATATACTATATTCTAAATTCCATATAGAAAGATGTACGGCAATTAGACTTGGTCAATTGCCGAATGTGAACTGGAACCGGCCCAAGTATATATATGGGTCGATTCACTAAACTTCCTGTTCACGATTCATATCCAGTTCTCAACTGTCGGGCCAGTTTGAGAAATTAAGAAATAAATAAATAAATCAAATTTTGAATTAGAATTTCGGCCTCCAACCGTTGGTTTCGATTCCGTCAGTTCGGAACTGAATTGACGGTTCAACTGTTTTTAAAATCCATGAACTTGGACCGGCTTGAGTAAAACTACATGTCGGTTCAAAGCCCACAGTCAGTGAGTTGGACCGGCTCGATTTCGAGCTAGTGCAGAATCGATTTCGGGCTAGTGCAGAATCGATTTCGAGCTAGTGCAGAATCGATTTCGGGCTAGTTTGAACCGTGACCATGTATGGGAAATATGTGCGACATTCATAATATGATTATGCATTAACTTTGTCTTTACCACTTCTCAATTAATGTGGACCACATAATTTTTGCATAGTTAGCCCACTTTCCGTTCATATTATATATGCATTGATAGTCGAGAATTGCAAGTTGCCAAACAAGATAGCTTTATAGGCCCAGAATATCATAATACAGATAATAAATATATTAATTTCTTGCCTAACAAATACAAGAAGCGTCTTATTTCCGAGAAATTACTAACATAAAAATAAAATAAAACAGAGAAAAATTACAATAATATAAAAAAAATATATATAATCTTTACTCAAACTAGGAAATATCTGTATGAACATCTCTAATTTCCTTTTTATGTACAAAAAAACAAAAAAAAAAAAAGAAAAACAAACGAACAAAACAATATTAAGGCTATCCTAGACAGACTAGCTCAATAAAGTAAGGTGACGTAACTGAATCTATCCTTAAAAAATAAAATGACTAAAAGACCCTCAATCTAACTTTCTCTTCACCGGACGGTGACCCAGCCATCGGAGGCCGACCAATCGTATCCCCTTTCGCAAACAAGTTCCCCCAGCCGCGCCGCCACCTTACTTGACGGCTCATCTGAAAACCACAATTCATCTTCCCCAAATTGCCCTTCTTCCCCGGTCGAATCCGAATCCGAATCCGAAACCCAATCTGGGTGATCGAATTCGAATACGCACCTTGGAGACTCCGACTCCGCCGCCGCGCCCTTGTTCCGGTCATATTCTCCGGCCACGAACGGGTGGTTCAGAAGCATCTCGGCCGTCCACCTCCGCCTGGGGTCCTTCACAAAGCACTTCGCCAAAAAATCCCTCCCCTCGCCGGAGAGACACCCAGGCACCCTCGGCACCTGATCCCCCATCCCAATCCTCATCATCAGCGCCGCCGCATCGGAGAACCCCTCCCACGCCGTGCCTCCGCCGGCCATCTCCGCCACCGCGCAACCCAGCGCCCAGACGTCCGCTGGCGGCTCCTGCTCCCCGCCGGCCACCATCTCCGGCGACATGTACATCGGCGTCCCCCGCAGCTGGGACCCTACGGAGCCGCCGCCGGAGCGCTTCGCCAGGCCGAAGTCGGCGATCCGGGCGGCGCCGTCGGCGCCGATGAGCACATTTTGGAGCTTGATGTCACAGTGGACATAGCCGGAGCTGTGGATATGGGTCAGCCCACGGAGAAGTGCCTTAGTGTGCCTCCGGACCTCGAATTCCGGCAGCCCAAGGTCGCCGGATTGTTTGACCCGGTTGGCGAGGGAGCCGCCGGGGGCGTACTCGAGCAGGACATTGTAGAGGCGCTCGCCTCTCTCGAAAGAAACGCAGTCCCCAAAACAGCGTATTATCTCCGGGCAGCCGCGGAGCTTCTGTAGAATTGATTTTTCGTTGGCGAGTGAAGAGGAGAGAGAAGCTCCGCAAGACTTGACCGCCACGAGCGGCGGCAGAGAAGGGTTGCCGCCCCTGGAAAACGCCAAACTCACGGTGGCGAAGCTGCCCTGCCCTAATTTCTCACCGCGAACAAAATCCATCATTTAGGAGATTTTTCAGTGATTCTTGTGTTGATTTTTAATATATATATATATATTTTCTAATTTCGAATAAGAAAAAACAGAGGAAAACAGAGTGTGAAATGTGAGTGACCAAAAACAGTAATGGAGGGCTCTATTTATAGGGGAATTTGTTGGGGGAACATTATTATTTATTTATTTTTTTAATTTTAATTTTTGGGTGCATTTATTGTGTGTACATGTGAGGCGAAACGTGTGGGGGAGTGTAATAAATTAGGATTGCTAAAAAAATAAAAGATTTTCTTTTGATACATTTATAAAATATGTAGTATACTGCAAAAGTCCTACTTGCAGACTGGAGTTGAGGGATTATGTTAGGCGCGTGATTTTCGTTCCAAAGTCTAAATTATCAACTAATTATGCTCGTCAATGGGCAGTCCCTCCCTTAATTCTGACCAATCAATAAGGATATGTATCAAAGCATTAATATGAATTCCTATGTGGGATCGTACTTTTGGTGTGGTGGTGTGGAAGCTTTGGAAATGGTGCAATTTTCAAGGTAAAAACCGGATTATTTTATCGTCGTGCATGAAAGACATCCTTTTGTACATTGACGGGCTGTCTACGTACCTCGACAACGCGCATCTACTCAGTGGGACGAGGCGGCTTCGTGTTCCTCGGTGGATTCGATGGGTACGGCCTTTATCGGGATGGGTGAAGTTGAATTTTGATGGCTCTTTCAACGGGGTGTCGGGCTTAGGCAGTGCGAGTGGCCTTTTACGGGATGAGAATGGAAATTGGTTTGGGGGCTTCACGGTGAATATCGGCTATTGGCTATTGCTTGATTATGGCAGCAGAATTATGGGGGCTCTTTCGGGGTCTTTCCTTGGCCTGGGACCTGGGGTATAGGCAGGTTGAAGCTGAGGTTGATAATGCCAGTATGGTGATTTTTGCGGAGTCTTTGGGTGATGTCTCGGGAGTGCACTCGGGTCTTATTATGGGAATTAAGGACTTACTGTGTCGCTTTTGGCAAGTTAAGGTGAAACACGTGTACCGCGAAGCGAATTTTGCAGCCGACTTTATGGCTTCCTTCGCTGCGGAGGGTCCGATGGGATATCAGTCGTTTAGTGTGCCCCCTTCAGGGGTTCGACAATGGTTGCACCATGATGTGATCGGTGTGTCATACTCACGTAACGTGGGTGACTAGAACTCATGAGGCTTTAGCCTCTTTTTTTGTAAAAAAAAAAAAGCATTAATATGAATTCCTCTTTGGATTCCCATCTCCAAGCAGGGGCGTAGCCAGGAATTTTTTTAACCTGGGGCTGCATATTATTATAGCTATTATTGGAACCTTGTATACCCGGTCATGGGCCGACTCAGCATGTCGGTTCGGCCCAAACCGACACAAGCAGACCCGTTGACCATGGTCTTGAACAAACCCGTGGTTTTGACAAGTTCGGTTCATGTACAATACTTTATAGTTTATACATTTTGAACATGCAGTTTTGGTTCCGAACTGGAACCGGAACCCGAGGTTCATTTTTTTAAATATTATTCTAATTATTTTGTAGTTTTTAATGAACCGGATGACCAGTAATCGACAATTCAATGAACCGACCCGTACATATGTTCGCGTCGGTTCATTTATGTTCGTGTCGGTTCATGCTCCTCCAACCTCGGCCCGGTATCGACGGTTGCGGCCTGTAACTGGTTTTGGTTATGATTATAAACAAATTATCTGCTAACATATGTCGGTTTGAATTGGAAAAACTCAATCTCGAATCGCTTATATATTTAAACAAGCCAAACTCAAATAGCTAATCGAACTTGTCGATCAAACAAATAAAGTCGAACATGTATGCAATCAACTCTGTACGAGTTTTCTCTTTGTCTAGGAAATGATGTCGAATTAATTATTGGAGGCGAAAGAAAAAAAAATAAATGAAAATGGATAACGGACTGTGGAATGAGACGAATCGAATTAAATAGCCCGCTGGAAAAGACTGTGTCACAATTGTCATTTGACAATAAGGATTATCTTTTTTTCTCACTATAATTATCATTTTTCCACCATTGTTGTCAGATAACAAATTTTAACATGAAAATAATCTTGAGTCATTCAGCCCAAAAATTAAATGGGGCTATATAAAAAATTACATGGGGCTAATGGGTCTATGTATAAATTTTTTTAGAAAATAAAATTAGGAAAAAAGGGGTAGCAAAAAATTACATGGGGCTGGAGCCCACCCTAGCCTTAGGGTGGCTCCGCCCCTGTCTCCAAGTATATATGAACTAATCCTCATATGCATGAACCGATTGCTGCAGCACTCAGAATAGTTCGACGGACCGGCCTCCGGAGTGGTTAGTTCAGGTACGGTCCGTCCAAGAGAGATTTAGCTCAATTTCTACAATTTAAAGATGTATGGTTTAAGAATTAGTCCTGAGAGTTATTCAAACAAGTTTGTGTATATCTACATATTGGTTATAATTGATCAGGCTCTTTCGTTATCAAAGGAAACTCTCTGGCGTGGGTATTAAGCCATTAGACTTTAAACCCCTTATAAATAATGGATCCATGTTTAATTTCCAATCTAATCTCTGAATAAGTCTCTCCATTACGGTGCGTTTGATATGTAAGTTTTCTAACTTGAGCGTTAGAGCGTCTACGTGGGGCCCTGGTGTTTTTGCAGGTTAATTCGGTCCGTGGTACGAGGCGATCGATACCAGGAAGTTCGATCGACAATCCTTGGTGAGCCAATATTTTGGACACGTCGTGTCTGTTATCCGCCTTATATACTACTTTGAATTGTGTTGAAAGTATGTGGCATTGTAACCTGGAAGTACTATAATATATTATGTAACTTTCTTTTGCTAATCAATAAATTAATTAACCATCATGTATTTTGACCACTAGTGTAATTAAGTTTAAACCACATGTTAAGTTATCAATATTATCATTGAGATTATGAAAACTAAAAAATGAAAAACCCGACTATCTAATGCGGCCAAACCTCTATATCATTACATAGGGTACTACAAAATCTAATTAAATTGAAATCGTGATTGACATGAGTTTGTATTAACATATCTATTAGAAATCATCATAATTTGGGCATATTCTAGTTCTATTCGAAAGGACATGAAAGAGCACTAAAAGTGCAAGTTGCGTGGACTATAACTTGATTCGAGTTAAATCAAATTAAAGTCTTCATCTCCCTTATCATTGTGGGTACACGTGGTCAAGGGTTGGCCCGGACCAACCCTAAACCGGCCTGAATTTACAGGTCTTGGAATTGAACCCATGGTAAAAGCGATCCGGTTTCTGGGTCTCTATTTTTCTTTTTGACCCGTCGGTTTCGGGTCAATTCTAAGTCGAAAGACGGTTCATAGTTGTTTTTATTTTTTTATTAAAAAAATCGACGATTCAAAGAACCGCTGGGTCGGTTCTGGGTCCAACTCCAATATTTGAGGCACGTCGACCCGTTGGGTGGGGTTGGGTCGTGAACCAGCCCGGCCTTTGAACACCTCTAATTGTGAGGGTTCGGATAAACCTGGGTAGCTCTCACTTTCTCAACTCGTGCGATTTCATAAATTTTTATTTGTATTGGGTAACTTTCTCTTATCAAATGATTTTGAGTTGACTCGCCAAATTTAGGTATACTTTAGTTTAGACCTATGAGATTCTTTGTTAGACTTTTGAACAGATAAAACAAATATTGTTAAATGGTAGTTTAGTTAATAAATATAATTAAGAAATAAAGTCATTTTAAACCCAACTTGTTATTTAAAAGTGATATCTCTGAAGTTGCAAGTTGCAGCCAACAAAAAATGTAAATAAATAAAAACAAAATATAAGAAAAAGTCCTTCCAAAATCTTTAAATTCGGTATGGCAGGCATTCTGAACAATTTATCAAATCTAGCTTATGTTATTCATATAATAGTTAAAGATATCCAATTTAAAATTAGATATGGCACTGTGAACAATTTATCAAATCTAGCTTATATTATTTATAATAGGTAGAGATATATATATCCAATTAACTATATATGGGTCGAAATTTTTTAAAATCTATTCTAGAGGCGATTATGATCTATAATATAATTTAACTTTTTTCTTTCAATTAAAAATTTAAACTTTTAGTTAAAACTAGTACAGAGCCGTGCGATGCACGGGGTGCACAATTTTCAAGTTATTTATCCAGCCTTATAATTATATAAATGAATAAAAAAATACACGGGATATATATAGTACGAGACCTGTGCGAGACGCAATATATTTATTTGGGGAATATTATATTATAAGATTATTCAATAAAAGTTTTGTAATACGCAGGAAAATTATACAATAAAATAGTATTCGACAAAAAAAAAATAATCATATATTATTAAATATCTCCTTGTACATAGATATTAAATAATTTATTAGTAAAATAATGTATAAATTGATTACAATAACAAAACAACATGCTCACAGGATTAGTAAAAATACTCCATGGATTGAATATTTAATGGGATTAAACATTTAAATTAAATAATTTAGATTATTCGAAATTAGATAATTCAAAAGCCTTCCAACATTATTTTGAATTTAATATATTACAACATGGAAATATTTTAAATATATTAATATTTAAGGAACTTTAAACAACATAGTTTTTAAAAAATTGTTTTAGGGAACTTTAAACAGCATATTTACGTCACCCATAAAACAGATTATATTTCAACAGCATAGTTATAGTATTATTAAGGAACTCGAAACAACATTGTTAAATATTTACGTCCACCCATAAATATTTTGTAAGTCAAATGTAATTAATCCCGTACATCTTTTTATTTGTTTGTTTGATTTTTTTGACAAAACTGATGTCATAGAGTAAATATTAAATAAATTAATTAATTAATATTAAATAATATGCTTTAGACAGATGTAGAATGCGAATAATTCTCTCATGCCAAACAACACGATTTCAAAATTGACTCAAATCCAGCAATCCTATCCAATATTTCATTAAAATAAATATTA